TGAGCTAACTTTATTCTTATTTATGTATTTTTTTAAATCAAAAGAACAAAGTGTKGGTGGAGGACTGCTTCAGAGTCACTCCTGTCCTTTATGTGCTCGCTGCAAATATTTATCACCACAAAGATGGGAGGTTATTTTAGGAATTTTTCCAGAAGTGAGGCTAAAACAGGTTTAATGTTTAACTGCACTTTTTTGATGTAAATGTGAGCATAAAATACAACAATATGGCGAAAGCCTCCTGAGCAGGGGCATAATTTACAGGGTGGTTTGGCGTGTTATGCTCCAACACAATAAAAATTAAGTGGTTAAGTACACAGCTGCAAAGCTTTTGTTGTTTTTAGGTAACTGTTTCACAAAATTGACCACGTCATATGTACATTTAGACATAACTGCAGAAAATGACATGCAGGATTTTTGTCTGTTGTTCACATGGCTGCGTTTTCTGAATTGTGTTGTAATTTTTTTCCTGGCCAAATTGTTGTGCACCAGGTAAATACATACTCTTGGAAAWTTTTTGTCGTATAACACATCCYATAAATGTTGAATATTTGTTACTGTTGTTAAAAAATGGGGGTAAAAAGTAAGTCTTAATTGTCGGAGTGACCTGGAACAGAAAAGAGAGTAAATGCAAAGAAAAAAAAAAAACAGGAAAGTGAAGTAGATCACATTTTGAAGCTTTACAATGTACTCCAAAATATCCTGATAAATAGGCAGAGAGCATACCCCCACTCCCCCAATGGTAGACTTTAAGTTACATCCTTGTTCCTGAGGTTGAATATTTTTTTTAGAATTTCAGTTTTGGATAAATTTACTCAAACCTTTTCTGTCACAAACGTGTTTACAGCTGATCAACAACTAACATCTAAATGAAATGAGGGATTTTTATGATTTATCAAAGGTTAATTTTAAAGACAGACACACACACACACACACACACACACACACACACACACACACACACACACACGCCGTTACATGATCACAATTTTTTCATGGCAAGTGAAGAATTCTGTTAGCTGACCAGTCTTGACTCTTAGTTTTTCTTGTCTTTGTGTCTGAACAGACAACAGGCTAAATAACTGGATTATAATTCTACTGATGTTTTTACATAGAAGCACTTTTAGAATTTGGTTTATGACACTTTTTTTCTTTTGGTTTATTTTTGCAGAATTATTGAAGTATTGCTGCTTTATTTCTAATAAAAGACTGCTTTTATCACTGTTCATGTTTCTGTGTGTGTGTTTTTTCAGGTGTGTGATCCGTGTGTTGGACTCCTTCGGCACTGAACCAGACTTCAATCATGAACTCTGGGCTAAGAATCATAATCTTAGGAGTCCATTTGGTGGCCTGAATCTGAGCCCCCTGCAGTTCTACACCATGTTCCGTACGTCTCTGCATGTCTTTTATCCCATTCAGTTTTATCACCTGATCTGGTTTACATTGNGGTTTACACAGGTTTATTCTGGTTTACTCTGGTTTACATGGTTTACACAGATTTACACAGGTTTGCACAGGTTTATTCTGGTTTATTCTGGTTTATTCTGGTTTAGTCTGGTTTACACTGGTTTATTCTGCTTTACACTGGTTAATTCTGGTTTACACTGGTTAATTCTGGTTTATTCTGGTTTACACTGGTTAATTCTGGTTTACTCTAGTTTACTCTGGTTTACATGGTGTACACAGATTTGCACAGGTTTACACAGGTTTATTCTGGTTTATTCTGGTTTATTCTGGTTTACACTGGTTTATTCTGGTTTACACTGGTTAATTCTGGTTTATTCTGGTTTACACTGGTTAATTCTGGTTTACTCTAGGTTTACACTGGTTTACTCTGGTTTTACACTGGTTACTCTGGTTTTACACTGGTTTACTCTAGTTTACACTGATTTATTCAGGTTTACACTGGTTTACTCTGGTTTTACACTGGTTTCCTCTGGTTTTACACTGGTTTACTCTGGCTTACACTTGTTTACACTGGTTTACACTAATTTATTCAGGTTTACACTGGTTTACACAGGTTTATGCTGGCTTATTTACACTGATTTACACTGCTTTATTCAGGTTTACACTGGTTTATTCTGGTTTATTCTGGTTTACTCTGGTTTTCACTGGTTTATTCTGGTTTACTCTGGTTTATTCTGGTTTACTCTGGTTTATTCTGGTTTAATCTGGTTTATTCTGGTTTACTCTGGTTTACACTGGTTTACTCTGGTTTATTCTGATTTACTCTGGTTTATACTGGTTTTCTCTGGTTTATTCTGGTTCATACTGGTTTACACTGGTTTACTCTGATTTACACTAGGTTATTCTGGTTTACACTGGTTTACTCTGGTTCACACTGGTTTACTCTGGTTTGTTCTGGTTTACTCTGATTTACACTGGTTTACTCTGATTTACACTGGTTTACTCTGATTTACACTGGTTTACTCTGATTTACACTGGTTTACTCTGGTTTACACTGGTTTACTCTGGTTTACACTGGTTTACTCTAGTTTACTCTGATTTACACTGGTTTATTCTGATTTACACTGGTTTACTCTGGTTTAGTCTGATTTACGCTGGTTTGTACTGGTTTACACTGGTTTACTCTGGTTTACACTGGTTTACTCTAGTTTACTCTGATTTACACTGGTTTACTCTGATTTACACTGGTTTACTCTGGTTTAGTCTGATTTACGCTGGTTTGTACTGGTTTACACTGGTTTACTCTGGTTTACGCTGATTTACTCTGGTTTACTCTGGTTTAGTCTGATTTACGCTGGTTTGTACTGGTTTACACTGGTTTACTCTGGTTTACGCTGGTTTATTCTGGTTTACGCTGATTTACTCTGGTTTACACTGGTTTACTCTGACTCTGATTTACACTGGTTTACTCTGATTTACACTGGTTTACTCTGGTTTATGGTGGTTTATTCTGGTTTTCTCTGGTTCACACTGGTTTACACTGGTTTACACTGGTTTACGCTGGGTAACTGAGCACTGATTCATTAAAAAAGTTGGTTTAATTGTTATAAAGGCAACTTTCAACAGCAGATGCAAGAGAAAATGTAAAGTTTTTATTGATCTTTTTTCCTGTCTCACACCACACAGCTCACACCCCAGACAACACGTTCCTCGGCTTCGTGGTTCAGCATCAGCTGAGCTCTGAGGAACACGAGCAGCTCAGGTCCACCACGAGGCAAAACCAGGCTCTGGTGTACGGAAAGCGTGCATCATTTTGGAGGGTAACATCAGAAACAGCTGCAGTAAAGCAAGTGTAAAGCTTTTTGGTTTTTCTGAAGTTCCCAGTTGCACTGTGAGTGTTTTCCTCTCTGCTGGCGTACTGCAGGGTAAAGATGCTTATCTGGATGTTATCCATAAGTACATGGACGTCCACGGGACGGTGGATGACGGCACTTTTCTTCCGAGTTATGTGAAAAACCACGGCATTGTTAAAGGAACTGAAGTTCAGACTTTGTTGAGGCAAAGCAAAGTAAGTTTATTTATAGATTAACAGATTATCTATTTAGTTAAACAGATAAATGATTCCACAGACTGAATTCTCGCCTAAATGTTCTCTGTTAATTTATTATTCATGGTTTAGTTTAACTGTTAACATCTTGGAAAATCAAAACGATGCCCACAGCTAAGCTTTGACTGAGACTTCCTTTTTTATTTTCAAGATGAGTCCTAGCTTTCTTTTCCTGACGTCTTATTCCTAACCTYCCACTTGTTGTGACAGGTGGGCACATTTCTTCTTCCATCACCTCAAAGCAAAAATCCACTGAGGTCTGCACCGGCCTGGCTCACCTGGGCATTATGTCTGTGGGTGGATGATAAAAAAGGTTTAATTAGAAATTGTGGAAAGAATTTTAACTGAAGAAAACAGAATCATTATTTCTAAATGTGTGTCSATGTATAATGTATAATAGAAAGATCAGTTTGTGTTGGAGAAAYCTGACGATTTGAAATGTTTTTAAATGAATTTCATTCAGTTTTGTTGAATAATGTTTGCAGATAAGCTTGCATGGTTTTTAGCAGATTTAGCTGAGTGCAAACCTGCATCTCAAACATCTGGGAAACTGCTAACATAAACTCCTCTAAAAGTTCAGAGAACCTTTTTTCATACATTTTAAATTATTCAACCCAAAACTAATTTTAACAGAATTTGTTCAAAATTGCTGTGTGGAAGAAAAAGCTTTGAGTTTTATGAGCTGTTTGATTGCTGAGTTTGCAGATCAAGGTTTTGCCTTTGATCGCACAAAGCAAGAATACCTTTTTTGTAAGTGGTGTTTTGATTTATGCTATAAACATAAAATATATAACCACACTCTAATAATTAAAGTTTTTGTGAGCACTATAAAGAAAAACTCACACAATGCTTTCCCATGAATGATGCCACTCAGTTTTCAGGAATTGTTTTGTTGAAGTTTGCTGCCACCATGTGCTCTCACGTTACAACTCAAGTCAGAGTTAAAGAATAAATCTCATTTAATAAACATTCTTTGCTGATGTAAGGTATGAAGAATAAAATAAATGAATTTAATTCATTTGGTAACCCTTTCTTTTACAGTCCCCTTATTGCCATGCAATTATCTAGTATTTACATGCTAAGTAATGCCATTTTACTATGCAATTAGAATAGAATAGAATAGAATAGAATA